GAAAGAGATCTTACTCCAGTATTTCTGCTGTTGTAGTTCAAATAAAGAAAAGTCTCAGTTTCCTGATTACAAGGAAAAATTAGCAATTCCTAAAATAAATACATAAAAGCATGTGACAATGACTATCTAGCTATGCTTCCTTCATTTAGATGGTATCGTTGATGATAATCCAACTATATATTTTGAATTCAGGGCAAAAAACTTCAGTAGTAACATTGAAACAATTTTTTAAAAATTAAGGTTTTTAGTAGGGGTGCCTGGTGTATATATGAAGTTTTTTTTTTTTTTTGAGTTGGAGTCTCACTCTGTCGCCCAGACTGGAGTGCAGTGGCCGCTCCCGGCCAACGCAGCCTCGACCTGCTGGGCTCCAGCGATCCTTTCGCCTCAGCCTTCCAAGTAGCCGGAATTACAGGCATGCGCTACCACGCCCCGCTGATTTTATACGAAGTATTTAATACACTTAGAACTAAAGACCTGCTGGGCACAGTGGCTCACACAGTAATCCCAGCACTTTGGTAGGCAGAGACGAGAGGACTGCCTGAGCTCGGAGGTTCAAGACCATCCTGAGCAACATGGTGAGATCTCGTCTCTACAATAAATCAGAAAATTAGTCAGCATGGTGATGCATGCCTGTAGTTCCAGCTACTTGGAAGGCTGAGGTGGAAGGATCACCTGAGCCCTGCTAGCAGGTGGAGGCTGTGGTGGCCATGAGCATGTCACTGCACTCCAGCTTGAGTGATAGTGAGACTCTAACTCAACAAAAAAATGCAAATTATCCTAAACTGATTACTATATATTATATAGAAACATCACTATGTACTCCCAAAATATGTAAAACTATATCAATTAAAAACAAATTTTTTTTTTAGGCTGGGCATGGTGGCTTACTCCTATAATCCCAGCACTTTGGGAGGTCAAGGTGAAAGAATTGCCTGAGCCCACGTGTTCGAGAACAGCCTGGACAACTTGGCAAGACCTCAGCTCTACAATAATAAAATAAATAAATAAATCAGCCAGGCGTGGTGGTATGTGCCTGTTGTTCCAGCTACTTGGAAGGCTGAGGTGGAGGGATCACCTAAGCCCAGCAGGTGGAGGCTGTGGTGGCCATGAGCTGCACTTGGAAGGCTGAGGCGGAAGGATCATCTGAGCCCAGCAGGTGGTGACCTTGAGCATGCCACCGCACTCCAGTCTGGGCAACAGAGCGAGACTCCAACTCAGAAAAAAAAAATTAATTTTGAAAAGCTAATATAAAAGTCTTACCTTAAACCGCTGAAATGTATCTTATTTACCTTTATACACTTAAAAGCTTTTGACATGCAAACCATTAAAAACTATGGAAGAACTTCAAGTCCCAGCTTTGCTAAATGTAAGAGGTTAGTAAACTAAATCTAAATTTTAGGAATTTTAAGAAATGTTTGGAAATATTTTATTCCTGAAGCAAAGGAAACGCAATTCAAATAATTAAGTTTTAATTATTTGAAAAACTCACTTAAGTTGAATGGGCCATTTCCTGATAACATACAAATAAAATTACTGTATATTCAACAATAATTGAAAACAATAGCAGTCTCTTAAAAAAAAAAAAAAAAGCTAAAGGGAAATGTGAGATATGCCTGTAGCATAGGTAAGAATGAATAGGATTGCTGCACTGTGCATAATTATCTGCTCAATAAATCCTGACTATATCAGATGGCCTCTAAAATATTGCTATGAGATGTTCATTATGCTATCTTGATAGTTCTCATACTCTAATTCAAATACTTAGCTGCTATGGTTAATCTGGGACTCAAAGGACAATATTCCTAGGTCACGAAAAGAATGCCCCAACAGCCTTTCTAACTACCAGTAACATCTGCAGAATTTGAATGGAATCTTACCAGAAGACTGCTTCCTATCCAAGCATGCTGCTATACATAAAAGTCACCTAAGGCTTTTATCTAGAAAGTGGAAGACCACAAAAAATGACTTATATGAAGAAAGTAAATTCATTATTCCAGGATTATAAATGAACAAAGGATACACAATCCAAGGAAAGGTTGCCGTGCACAGAGGCCTAGGAAGTGAGAAGCCAGAGTTACGGATTTATTTCCCTCCCACCATCCCCCTTCCCCCCTTCTTTTAGAAAGTAGTGCAGGACTGAGAAGTTGGAGGGAGGTGTGAGGGCAAGCATGGGAGATGGAAACTCCAGCTGTGCAGCCTCATTTACATAGCTGCTTAGATAAGGTTAGCAAAGTCAAGCATTCCTGACTGAGCACAGTTACAATATGATTTGTATCACTTTATCTCCTGATGAAGTCACTGCCTGTCTGCTTTTGGCTGTGTACCTCGGGTTTTCCTGAAAAAATGGGCAAAATTCCAGTACTGCAGATATTGTTAATCCCCTAGCTTGTGCTTCCTAATACAAATATATTTTTTAAACTCTCAAATTTATGTTCTAACAGTAAGCATGCTTTGAACATCTTGGGTCCATATCCAGATTTAAAAGAGGTGAACATACAGATTTCTTCTTTTTTTTTTTGAGTCAGAGTCTCACTCTGTCGCCCAGGCAGGATTGCAGTGGCACGCTCATGGTCACCACAGCTTCAACATGGTCTGCTCAGGTGATCCTTACATTTCAGTTTTCCAAGTAACTGGAACTACAGGCGTCCACCACCATGCCCAGTTAACTTTTTGATTTTTTGTAAAGATGAGGTCTCACCAAGTTGCCCAGGCTGGTCTCAAACCTATGGGCTCAGGCAATCCTCTTGCCTCTGCCTCCCAAAGGGCTGGGATTATAGGCATGAGTCACCACACCCAGCCCCACTGTTCCTTTTTTTTTTTTTTTTTTTTTTTGAGTTGGAGTCTCACTCCTTTGCTCAGGCTGGAGTGCAGTGGCATGCTCACAACCACCGCAGCCTCCACCTGCTGGCCTCAGGTGATCCTTCTGCTTCAGCCTTCCAAGTAGCCAGAACTACAGGCGCAAGCTACCACACCTGGCTAAATTAAAAAAAAAAAATTATTGTACAGATGAGGTCTCACCAAATCGCCCAGGTTGTTCTCGAACCTGTGGGCTCAGGCAATCCCCTCACTTTGGCCTCCCAAAGTTCTTGGATTACAGGCTTGAGCCACTGTGCCTGGACTTTTTTTTGAGTTGGAGTCTCATCCTGTTGCCCAGGCTGGAGTGCAGTGGCATGCTCACAGCCACTGCAGCCTTGACCTGCTGGGCTCAGGCAATCCTTCCACCTCAGCCTTCCAAGTAGCTGGAACTACAGGCGCATGCTACCACGCCCGGCTGATTTTTGATTTATTGTAGAGACGAGGTCTCACCAAGTTGCCCAGGCGGGTCTCGAGCCCGCGAGCTCAGGAAATACACTCACCTTGGCCTCCCAAAGCGCTGGGATTATAGGTTGAGCCACTGAGCCACACTGATTCTTTCTTTTTTTTTTTTTTTTTGAGTTGGAGTCTCACTCTGTCACCCAGACTAGAGTGCAGTAGCCACTCCCGGCCACCGCAGCCTCGACCTGCTGGGCTCCGGCGATCTTTCCGCCTCAGCCTTCCGAGTAGCTGGAACTACAGGCGCGTGCTACCACGCCCGGCTCATTTTGATTTATTGTAGAGATGAGGTCTCGCCAAGTTGCCCAGGCGGGTCTCGAACCTGCGGGCTCAGGCAATCCACACACTGATTCTTAAAGCTTCCCTCTATCACAGAAACTCCTGAATAAACCATCTGCGTAATCTAGCCTTGTTTACCTTGCAAATTAAGTTGTATAATTGCATCCAATGCTATGTTTACAGAAATATGACTCGTTACCACTGCTGTCCCACTGCTAACATCAGAGAAAGACAAGGATGTTTACAGGTACTTGGTAGATTCCATATTTTGTTTTTATCAGCACTAGAAGAAATCACAGAATGATAACAGGGGTAGTACTCTAAAAACTGGGTGCAACTCTTCTGACCTTGACAGGGTAAATAGAGAATTTGCTTTTGCCTACATGAGTAACTCATTAGGGTCAGTGCATTAAGACCTATAAAAGAAGCATGGATATCTGGAAAAGGAATCATCTTTAAATTTAAGAGAAAAAGGTTGGGCATGGTGGCTCATGTGTATAATCCCAGCACTTTGGGAGGCCAAGGAGAAAGGATTGCCTGAGCCCACGGGTTCGAGACCAGCCTGGGCAACTTGGCAAGACCTCTTCTCTACAATAATTAAAAAATTAGCCTGGTGTGGTGATGTGTGCCTGTAGTTCCAGCTACTTGGAAAGGTGAGGCAGAAAGGATCTCCTGAGCCCAGTAGGTCGAGGCTGAGGTGGCCAGGAGCGTGCCACTACTGCCCTCCAGCCTGGGTGACACAGTTAAACTCCTACTCAAAAAAAAAAAAAAAAAAAGGAGAACAGATGGCTTGATGTCTGGATCTATAAAAGACACATACATACTTTTCTTTCTCTTCCATTTCCATCCTTACCAATAATCTAAACACCTTCCAGATCCCAGCCAACCAAATGGCAAGAAGGGCTCAAAACGTTTTGTTTGATAGCTAGTATTGCTGGAATCTGGACTGTGGCTGGAAGGTAAGACTGCAGGACACCAGTGCCCTGGAGGGCTCATGTGGCTCCAGCAGATACACAGGCTCTGAACTAGGTAGGAGGAGTCATGGAAGTTATGTATTGGCCACTCACAATCACTGACAGGTGGTTTTTGGCATAGGCAGAGACCCTGGTGATTAGCTCAAAACAGAGACATCACCCAAACATCTTACGGTATTAGGTGGATTTCAGTAAATGTGCAGAAAGGAAAGGACCTGAAAAGAAGACAAAAATGTTCTATATGTTTAAATGTTTTAACTGGAATGCACGTACATATGTAACCAAAAACTTTCTTTACATTTAAAAATTAAACTTGCTTGGGTCATTAATTCTACAGAATGTTACTAAAGCTTCAGTAACATACTGTTCAAAAATTCATGTTTCCAGAGTTCTAGTTACTTAAAACAAAAAAACTCATAGCTGCTATACTCTTGGATGGAACACGTATAAATGCATACACAGAGACTCAGAAAACACATGTGCAGGGATGCCAGGGTACACCCCTCTTGAACCTGAGATGCATGTGGGCTGCAATGAAAATCAAGAGGCCCTACTGCATATATGTTCGATGTCATTCATCTCTTTGGGACAATCAGCAGAAAGGACGAGAGGTAAGTCCTGAGTCACCACTACATCATCCTCAATTCGTACACCAAGACCTCGAAACTTCTCTGGGGCATCTCTGTCATCCTCTGGAATATAAATGCCTGAGAAGTAGAAAGAAGAATGTGCTGTTCAGCAATGACAATAACTGGGTGATTCGGGGAAGTAAGTTAACTTCTCTGTGTTGCAATTCCTTCATCTGTAATTGTACCTACCTAATAGGGTTGTGAGTTTTATTTTTATTTTGTTTTTTGAGTCAGGGCTTTGCTCTGCTGACCAGATTAGAGTGCAGATTAGAGGCATGCTCATGGCTCACTGTAGCCTCGACCTCACGGGCTCAGGCAATCCTTCCACCTCAGGTTCCTGAGTAGCAAGGACTATAGGAACATGCCACCAGGCCTGGCTAATTTTTGACTTTTTTTTTTTGTAGAGAAAAGGCTAGTTATGTTGCCCAGGCTCAAGCAATCCTTCAGTCACGGCCTCTCAAAGTGCTGGGATTACAGGTATTAACCACCAAATCTGGCCTGTTGTTGAGTTTTATTTTATTTTATTTTTGAGTAGGAGTCTCACTACGTCACCTAGGCTAGAGTGCAGTGGCATGCTCACAGACATCTCAGCCTTGATCTGCTGGGCTCAGGTGATCCTTCCAGGTTGGTCTCGAACCCCTGGGCTCAGGCAATCCTCTCACCCCCACCTCCCAAAGTGCTGGGTTTATAGGTGTGAGCCACTGTACCCAGCTGTTATTATTATTATTGTTATTATTATTTTGAGTTGGAGTCTTACTTTGTCACCCAGGCTGGAGTACAGTGGCATGCTCCCGGACACCGGAGCCTCGACCTGCTGTGCTCTGGCGATCCTTCTGCCTCAGCCTTCCAAGTAGCCAGAACTACAGATGTGTACTACCATGCCTGGCTAAGTTATTTATTTATTTATGGTAGAGAGGAAGTCTTGCCAAGCTGCCCAGGCTGGTCTCAAACCTGCAGGCTCAGACAATCCACTTGCTTCAGCTTCCCAAAGTGCTGCGATTTCAGGCTGAGCCACCAAGCCTGGCCCCAGCTAATTTTTTTTTTTTTTTTTTTTTTGCGTCAGTCTCACTCTGTCACTCAGGCTGGAGTACAATGGCTTGCTGCTCATGGCCACCACAGCCTTGATCTGCTGCACTCAGGTAGTCCTTCTGCCTCAGCCTTCCAAGTACCTGAAACTATAGGCACATGCCACCACACCCAGCTAATTTTTCTTGATTTAATGTAGAGATGAAGTGTCACCAAGTTGCTCAGGCTGGTCTCAAACCCCTGGGCTCAGGCAATCTTCTCACCTCGGCCTCCCATCAGCTAACTTTTTGACTAATTGTAGAGAAAGGGTCTCACCAAGTTACCCAGGCTGTTCTCGAATCCCTGGACTCAAGCAATTCTCTTAGTTCTGCCTCCCAAAGGGCTGGGATTACAGGTGTGAGCCACTGTGCCCAGCCTGGAGTTGAGTTTTACAAGAGATAATTTTTATGAAAATTTTAAAAAAATCATCTGGTACAAAATGGTCAATAAATGTTAGCAATCAATATAAGAATTATTATTATTTTGGTTATTTTGTGTATTAGACTACAAGTTCCATATCATTAGGATAATGTTGGTTATAATTCTGTCATATTCTAGTAGCTTAAGTAGGCCACTAAAGTTAAACTTAACTTAATGAGTATGCCAATATATGCTGGGAACCAGCAGATTATGTAAGTGTATTCTTCCTTTGTCTAATAGTTCCCTGGAAAAAGAGAACCTTGCAAAAATCAAGACAAAATGAGTTTGGTGTGATGGGTCACACCTGTAATCCCAGCACTTTGGGAGGCAGAGGCAAGGGGATTGCCAGAGTCCAGGGGTTTGAGACCAGCCTGGGCAACTTGGCCAGACCTCATCTCTACAATAAATCAAAAAATTAGCTGGGTGTGGTGGGGTATGCCTGTAGTTCCAGCTACTTGGAAGGCTGAGGCGGAAGGATCACCTGAGCCCAGCAGGTCGAGGCTGTGGTGGCTGGGAACATGCCACTGCACTCCAGCCTAGGTGACAAGAGTGAGACTCGTACTCAATAAAAAAAAAGACAAAATGTTATTTAAATGTATTAAAAGAAACACTTATTGAGATTATTAGCCTTGACAACTAGAAGCTGCAGAAATAGTCATTATAAAGTTTTTCACTCTCAGATAAGCTGTAAATATAACAGATGTATATAATATAAAGTAAGAGAGAAGCAGAAAGACTTTAAATGTGCATTTGGAAAAATCTAGGAGCTGGGGAAACCCCTTTGGGTTCCCTCCCATTGTGAGAGCTTCTCTGTCCTTTCAATAAACCTGGCTTTCTCACTTAAAAAAAAAATCTAGGAGCCCTAGGTACCCTTTCTAATCATGAACTTCAGCAGACACCAGATCTTTTCATATTACAGAAATTGTAATTTCTACTATACTCACAGATATGCTCTGAAATCTAAAACCGAGATCTTTTTTCATGAGAAAACCAGCATCAGTGTTTAACAATCAACTGTCAACCAGGCGTGGTGGCTCCCGCCTGTAATCCCAGCACTTTGAGAAGCCAAGGTAAGAGAATTGCCTGAGACCAGGGATTTGAGACCAGCCTGGGCAACCTGGCAAGACCTTGTCTCTAAAATAAATTAAAAAATTAGCTGGGCATGATGGCTCATGTTTGTAGTTCCAGCTACTTGAAAGGCTGAGATAGAAGGATCACCTGAGCCCAGCAGGCAGAGACTGTGGTGGCCGTGAGCATGCCACTGCACTCAGCCTAGGCGACAGAGTGAGACTCCAACTCAAAACAAACAAACAAACAAAAATCAAGTCTCATAACATCAATAGTGGGAATCTGCTGGGGGAGGGGGGCTCACCTCATCAACAAGGGTATCTGCATAATAAGCAGTTGTATATCTAACCCTGAATTGTACCCCACATCTTTAAAATAAAAATAATTAATTAAAAAAAGAAAAAAGCCAGGCTTGGTGGCTCAGCCTGTAATCCCACGCCTTGGGAGGCTGAGGTGAGT